AAGTTATTAATATTAATAAGGAAAGTTATAGCTAGTTTCTTAATCTAAGAGATTTTATTTTAAGGTACAGTAATAGAAAAAGAGTGTTAATATTTAGAGATAAGCTTATTATTTCTAGAATTATTACTAAATATATATATAATATAAAGCTAATCTTTATAGATATAATAAGTAGATTTGAAATTCTTTTAGCACTGAATATAGTAGTAATATTTTATAGCTAATTAAAAATATTAGTTTTATTATAATGTTAATAAGTTTAGTAAATATCGCTTAGATATGTTATTAATATATACAAAAATAAAATAAAAAGTAAATAAATAATAAATATACTTCTAATACTGTTAGAGAGGATTTTATAAATAAAATTACTTTTCTTTTAATTTAAGAGGTTTAGCTTTAGCTATTTTTCTTTAAGATAATATTAATATTAATATAATATTAGCTTTTATAAATAACGTGAAGTAAGGTTTTAAGAATAGTATATCTATTTAGATTAATATTTAATATATTACTCATAGTTAAAAATATATAAATCTAAATAGTAATCTCTTAAAAGACGCTTTATAACTAATAAAGTAATTAACATATTAATTACATGCTAATAGAGGTATTCTAATAATAGATAAAGTATTAAAAAAGGCGTTTAGAGGTATATAGAAGAAAAGCTTAGAGGTATAAAATTAAGCGTAATAGTAGCGTTAATAGTAATATTAAAAATTTATTTTTTTAAAAGCTAGTAAAAAGGTTAAAAATAGGTGTTTTTTAAGCCTTAATAAAGAGTCTAAAATATATTAATTAAGTAGGATAATAAAAAGTGCGTTTCTAGTACTTCTAGTACTTTTTAATAGTAAAGCTAATATTACTAAAAAATACTTAGCCCTATTTTAGCACTTATTAACCTAAAAGTACTACTAAATATCTATAACTATTTACTTTTTGTTTTAGAGATATATTATAATAAGACTTAATAAGCTAGTAGTAAATCTATTATATAAGGAATTATAAAGATATTAGTTTAAAACTAGCTTGAGTTATTAATCTCACTATAAACGTTTAGAGAGTTATAACTTTAAATAGGTAGAAAAAAAATTTAAGTTAGTTTTTTTAACTTTTTAATACATATTTTTAAAAATTCTAATTAGTCTAGAACTTAGATTATATTTAATCTAGATAATATTAGCTTAATTAAAATAGTTAATTAAAGGTACTATAGATTTATTTAATTAATTCCCTAAAAAGCCTCTATTTGATTAGCTAATTAATTAATTTAATTGATTAGGCCTAATTGACGAGTAGCGCTGCAAAGAGCACCCCAACCCCGATCGACACTGTCTCACACAGAACAATGAAGGACAAACACCGAAAACACCGACGGAGATGATAACAAATATAAAACTCAACAAAAATGACTGTGATAGTATGACAAAGATTACTAATCCATTACTGACCATTCTCTCTTTCAAGCTCGCAAGGTGACAGAAGTTACTGAGTAGCATCTCATGGCTAGCATCTCATGGCTAGCATCTCATGGCTAGCATCTCATGGCTAGTAAATCAACCCATGATCGTTAGGATGCCGCCATCAAAGCACTTTTATAGCCCCTTTGGCAACACGCTAAACATCTCAGAAGCCAGATAGAAGGTCAATACAGACCCCCGGCTTCTCGTCATCTGCAACCCGACCCATGCATGAATTCCCCGGCCATCCTGGAGAGGCCGATGAGCAACGGCATCAAGTGCTCTCTGATAGGTCTTCAGAACTTTCTCATCAGCACTCCCCAAGTAGGTCTCTATCCGCTTACGAATCTCAGCATAATCAGAGGCGTAGTCGTGAACAGGGAAATACACTGTCACCTCTGACTTCACATCCTCACCGTCCGCAGTGAAGCTGAAGCAAGTCATCGACCCCTTGCCCTTGTATGGCCCCTCAGAGCCACCACTCAGAACGGTATAGAAATGGAGTATTTCGAGATCAGAGGCACTAAAAATGTCGGGGGCAACGATGGAGGCCGCCTGCGATAGATCCGCGGCCGTCGCGCCGCAATGCTGCACGTAAATCTTGACTCGGGCTTGAGAGCCAGGGCACAGATCCAATGAAAGATACATGAGCTTGTTGCATGGCAGTCAGATCTTCTCAAGAAGAGTCCAAGCTTGTGGCATGCAAAGTTTATTGAGGGCTTCGTGGACAACTGCTGGGGCCCGGGATTCTCCCTGAGCATTGGCGTTCTGGTAGATCTTCCATTCCGGACGAGGGCCGTCTTCAGCAACAAAGGTGTGCCACCCTGCAAAGGTTCCTTGTGCTTCCGCCCCCGAGGGAAAGAGGGGATCTTTAATGCCGTTGAAACGATCCAGAGAGACTGCATTCGGGTATACGCGTTGTATTTCATCATTTAGTTGCAAAGCGCTTCGTTGGTGGGTCTCAAGGGTTGCCTCACCTGCCTGACTTTCTATGAGAAAGCATAGCTGAGCTTTCCCGGTCGTCTTCTTGATGGCAACGGAGTACTCGAATGGACAAAGATTAAGGCTGGCATCCGACTTCCACCCAAAAGGTGGCTCAGATGCTGACAGATGACTCCAGCCCTGCATGGATACATCAAAAGCATGCTGGAACATTTTCAAAGCTTGATCATCTAGATGCAGAGCACCACAAAGCTTTTTGATGTCATGCGAGGCCTCGCTCTTGAAAGTTCCAACTTCGGTCGGAGAGATCAAACCCGAGAGAACGGGAATAGGTTGCAACCCGCTTTGGAACACTCTTATCCTTAGCTCCTTGCCTCGGGTGATCCTTACTCCAGGGATCTTATGGCGCTTCTGGTGGAGCTGCGATATGGCGGCAATGGTGTATTTGATGTGCCTATCCGACATTACGTACCGCGGGACGGCACACCGGACCAGATTGGGAATATTGTCTCTGTCTTGCGCAATGGCTCCTTTCTTGTCCCACTCCCAACCAAAAGGACCGGCTTCATATGCCCGGATGCCATAGTCTTTGAGCAGCTCCAAGGTGAAACCGACGGAGGCGAATTCGCCGTAAGACCTCCCACAGTCGGCAAAGAAGCCATCCATATCGAGATACATGGCATGGCCGCCCGGTGGCAAGAGGACAGGAATACCTTCGACGACCAAGCTCTCAGCGAACCTCTTGACTTGGCCGATCCGGTCAGCCAGGTACGTTTCCTTGGTGACTTCGTAGAGTCCGACAGCTGCCGCCATAACATCGCGACCACTCATGCCACCGTGTCGGTGTCGATTTTCGCAGTACGCCGCTCAAGGTAGAGAAGAGTAATGCTTCGGCACACCGCCCCTGGGGCAAAATGAAAAGGTCGGACGGATCAGCTGGAGAAGGCCGCCATTCACGAATCCGCCACAGATCTCCTTAAGGAATACCTCGCGGTAGAAAGTGGTGTCAGCTGTGCCGGCATAGACATACTTGAAGACAGATCGACGATCTTCACCACGCTCGATGACATCGCGGAAATCCTCAAGCAGGCAGTAGTAGCCTGAGTTGCGGCCATAACTCTCATCACCCCTGAGCATCGCTGCCCACTGGATATCAGTCATGGCCGAGGTACCCGAATCAGAGAGATGATCGCAGGTGAGGAGGGCTGCGGGGAAGACAAAGACATTGTATACGACGGGGCGTAAGACTTCCTCACGCTCTTAAGGGGTGATAGCGATGTGCGGGCGAACGACCAGGGTGTTGTGAGGAGGGCCAATGAGAGGAGACATGATGAGAGTGGGAAGATTTCTTCCTCGGAGTGTTTCTTTGAAATTATTTGACGACGTGGGGCAGGTAAGCCCTCGAAACTAAGAGAAACGTCATTAACCGGCCAGCTTCGTATTTATGGTCACTGTCGAACCGCCCCCACCCCTCCCTTCCTACCCTACCCGATGGCTTTTCAGCTCGATGGAGTGGACTTCCAGAATTTCTTCTAGTGAATCTCGGTGCCTTCCCAATGAATTGAAAGGAACTTGAGGTCCCAATACGTCTTGGTTTGCTGCTGTGGGGTCCACTCGTCACATTCAAAGTGATGTCGGTATCCGCACCACAGCCATTCTTGATGATGACAGCAGGCCATTTGGAAAAGGATACTTGACCTCAGTGACAAGACAACAGTGCGAGTACGAAATATAAAAACATGCAATCACATTGCTGATGTCTATTGTGGTTGGCAAAAGTCATGTTCTATCGCTTACACACGGAGTACTTGATCTCACGACTATTATGTCTCCAAACCAGGTGTTTGCTAAAGGCGACCTCTACCATGCCCCGTTTCCCCACTCGCCATTGCATACTCATCTGTCTTAGACACATAAAGCTATAGTTTCTTCATGCTCTCAACAGATGTGTAGGGTCCGAGATCTTTCAGCCAGTTTCCATTGCCAAGACTACAAGGACATTCACACTTTCCGGTTTGGTGTAGGATGTGCAAAGCTGAAATATGGCCTACTCATGTCACTGCGCAAACATGCAAGCATCAGACGGGCGAATTCTTTCCCCGCTGACGGCGAGGATTGTATCTGTAATAGAGAGTAGTCAGATTCGGGGGCTGTTGTCCGAAAGCAGTAACAAGAATGGAGTCAGCGACGTGGGGTCAATCCGTTCCGCACAAATACACAGCAATGTTTGATCATTGTTGTATGCAACGAAAGTCACTTACTTGGGCTGAAGAATTTGGTTGGATGAAACGAAGCAGTTTCATTGTGCTTGAACGCCACTCGACTGCAGTCTGCTGTTGATGCCTGCATACGCCAACGCCCGGATTACTGTAAGGCCACATCGAGTTCCTAGCGGGGTCTCTCGAGGCGGCATTGTGTGCTTACAAGACTATTAGAAGCGTCGCGTCTCAACCTGCCGATCAAGCAAGCTGAGGGTGATGATGAGTTGCTGGGAACGATTTGCTTCCAATCTGGGCATGGACAAAGTCACGGAATGAATGACTGCAAAAGGTCCCTGTTTGACTACTGCTCATTTACGAAAAGAATCTACCAATGATCTCACTGTTCATCTGGTGCCGAGAAACGGTAGTAAAGATGATCCCATCCGTCCCCATGGTCTACCTCAAGCTCAAGAAGCTCCTTGTTGATATCGAAGTCCCTAATGGCACCTTGAATAGCCGACGAGAAGATGGTCTTGCCAACAGTCTCCCAACATTTCTTGCGCTCAGGTTCCGTTTCAGTGCTGGTGACCGTGAATGAATCCGTCGTTTTGAGCTTCAAATCGGTACGGCACGAGGCTAGGGCTTCTTGCATGTTGGTGTTGCTGATTTTCCATCCCATCACGGTCTTCAGCTCGGAAGGCTTGAGACCAGTCATCTCCCAGCACGCCTTGAGAACCTGGCGCATTTTCAGTCGAGGGTCCGTCTTGTCGTCTCCGTTCATTGCCTTCATGACGGTCAGGCGTTTGGACACCGTGTTGACCATGAGGGTATCAACGGGCAATACATTGCCATTTGTGTCCTTGGTTGTGTAACCATCTGCGTACACACTGAAGCCCCATCGCCCCTCTTCTTTGTTCTCTTCAGCGTCGACAGCGTATGCTGAGTTTCCCTAAAGTGGTGTCAGCTGCCCGAATCTACATCAAAGTACAACGAATATTGAAAATACTTACAGCAAAAGGTCGAACAGGCACTGCAGATATCTATCCACAGATGTCAGTGAATCATTCACACCAAAAGCAACAACTCAAACTATGAGATCTTGAAGTCTCGGGGACTTACAAGGTTGGCCAAAGACAACAGAAGGAACAGAAAAGTTGAAAAACGATGGGAAAACATCTTTTAAAAGCGATTGAAGGTCCAAAAACGGAAAGAATGAAAGTGTTCAAACAAACACGGCAACTGCGCACAGGCTAATTGCAAAAACTGAAAGAGAGTAAGTTGATTGAAAAATAAGGTGTTGGATGCCGGTGACGGCAACGACCGTGTTGACTTTTATTATACAGTGTCTTTTGCAATTCCGAGAGAGTCGTATAGCATACGGCGTCGCCGACTCATGTAAGTTCATGCAATTAGTTGTGCAGCCTTGGCCGACCCACAGGTCACCCGTCTGATCAGGGACCAAGCCACTTTATGCAGCTGACTCGCATCCCGTCTGCACCAAAACTTTTGGGTACATTGTGGGGCTGCATAGGAGGATAAAGAATCTAATCAGTTTAGCTTTGTGATTCGGATGAACCGAGCGGGCTCAGAGTGTTCAACTCAATCTAACTTGTTGTCGATCAAACACCAGGTTTCTTAAGATAGTGTCAACGAAGGTCGAGAGCACTAATAATGGATCAGCCTTGCGGAAAACGCGGGATTAGCAGGATAACGCCCTGCAGACAATATGGCGTTATGTTGCTGTTTATGAATTTAATGTGTCTAAGTGATACTATCACAGGGGCTGGCCTGTCCGACTTCTGGTAATCTGATGTATATAGTCTTTCGTTGTGGCCCCAAAATTCAGACTCTGGCTCATTGCATCCCAAACTTCTCGGTTCTGTCGTTCACTGTCTTCCTTCTAGTCATTCTTTACTGTTTCGGCAACAATGTTGCGTCACTCATTCTCGTCACTCATTTTGCTGGGATTAACCTCCCTCGCCTCTAGTCGCGTTCTCTATGGCCGCGGTGAAGATGTTGCCGTGGGCGGCAAATGGAAGGATCACGATCAGGTTACTGCCTTTCAACAACAAGCTGCAGACGGCATCGAGGGGGAGATCGAATTGCGGTTTAAGCCAGGTCTGAACGATGGGAGTGGTTGCTTCTCATATGCCGCTGTTGACAAGGACGGCTTCCACAAGTACGTGCGCAACATGATGTTTCTCTTTATACATAACAATAGATGTTGTGACTGACCTCTCTGCCAATCTAGCAAGGGATTGAAGCCCACGGGAAAGAGCGGCGGCGATTGCCGCGATAGCACCAAGGGTCAGCTTTACGCCAGAGTTGGAACTTCCAACGGTCGGACCGGTATCTTGTATTCTTGGTATCTGCCCAAGATCCAGAACGCCGAAGACCACAAGCACTATTACCTGACCATCGTCGTCTGGGTCCACTCGGACAAGTGTGACCCAACGGCGGACGACTACCGCGTCGTTGGAGTTAGCTACTCTACTGGCAAAGAAACCTACGATACGTCAGTTAGTGGTCAGACGCTTTACAGCTCTGGAGACAGCGGTTCCGGTCCTGGCAACACCCACCCCATCGTCGGATATGACGGCCAGATGAATGTGTTTCCTTCTAAAGACGGCGCCGATTACGCCCTCAACCCCCCAATGATCAGCTGGAAAAAGCTGTCTCAGCCGGCCTCAGAGCAGTTTAACGGCATCGTGTACGAACATGCCCGATGCCCTTTTACCGACAACAACATCCAAGCCTCCCTTGACGCTGCTTTCAACGCCAACTTTTATACTGGCTTGGCCCCCGAGGCTGACAACTGCAACGCGGCGGATGTCCCGACGCCGACGACGCCTCCTACTCAGCCCGAGGAGCCCGCGTCGTCGTCTCCCCCTGAGGCGACTCCTTCAACTCCTTCGAATCCAACGGAGCCCGCAAGCGATCCCACCACCTCGAACCCACCGACTCCTTCAACAACTGATACCGGCGATGATGATCTGATTGAAGACGGCCCGGAGATTGCCTCTTCCAGCTTGCCAGCAGACGCTACCTACACACCAACCCCTTGAAGTCTTCCGCATGTATTCGAGGAGAATAAGGAGTCCAAGAGGGCGTTGTAATTGGGCGTTGCAGTTTTATAGAATACTTCAGTTCATGAGAAAAGGAATATTGCATGCCTTCAAAGCTTTTGATGCTTCCAATGTGACTTGCTTATTCTACACCTCGTGAACCATAGACTAAGTGTGAATGTCGATGGGGCGACTCAGTTCTCTTCACGCTCTTGAGACATCGTCACACGAATGAAGCCTGCAACCCCATAGCGATTGCACGTCAATGCACGATCTAAAGCTGTCTCCCCCGAGATTGTCCTTGCGTTCAAATTAACCCCAGCAGCCACCAGCAATCTCGCTTTTGCCTCTGATTCTCCATCCTCGCCCAAATATGGGGCATCCGGGTCCCCCGCAGTTAGATGTAGAGCCGTTTCTCCCTTTTTGGTCGTGGCGCTCACATTAGCACCAGCTGTAACAAGCCTTTGCAAGTGTTGCGCAGTGCTGTACGCCGCGGGCTCATGTAGTGGAGTTGCTCCATCGTCGTTTACCGCCTCCAGATCACCACCGCACTCTAGAAGAACGTCGAACAGCCCTTCGGAATTTCTTGGCAGATGCAAAAGTGTTGTACCGACCGCTCCCGCCTGAATGAGGAATCTTGTTGCAGCTGGGGAATCGGATAGAGCATGATGCAACACAGTGTTTCCGTTGTTGTTGATCGCTTTCATGTCAGCAACAGCATCCAGAAGGACCTGAATAATGTCCAGAAGCTCGTGCGAAGCAGCTATATGCAGGGGTGTGTTTCCGTAACAGTCTTTGGCTGATACGTCTGCGCCCGACTCCACCAGTAGCTTTGCTATTTGCATATTTCCAAACAAGGCCACCACATGTAAGGGTGTCTCGTTGTCGATGTTGCGTGCGTTGATGTCGGCTCCGGCGTCCAGAAGCAACTTGGTTGCTGCTACTCTTCCGCCAGTAGCAGCATTATGCAAAGGTGTTACTCCATCGCTCGTTGCCGCAGATGGATTGGCGTGGGCTTGCAGCAGGGCTGTCACGGTCCCTTCACCTCCCGATTGAACCGCAAGATGAAGCGCTGTCCAGCCTCTCGCGGTCACAACGGCGGATAGATCAGCCCCTGCAGATATGATCCCTTGCAGGCTTTCAATATCATCGCCAAAAGCCGCTTGGTGCAAAGGGTCGTTGGGAAACACAGGGGGTGCAGCTGGGTTCGCCGCGCCACATGAGGCACAGGAAGCACCTGGGTTGTCGGACATGATGAGCGAGTGCGAAAAAGAACAAAGAGATAGATAGAGATAGAAGTTTGGTGGTAAAATTAGAAGGCTGAGACAAATAAAACAAATGCATGAAATTGACAGTTTAGATCAGACACCTGTTCAGCAGACGAAGCACGTCCCTTAAGTACAAGTGGTCGGCTTTCTCTTGACTCATGTTGCTGAACTAGTGATGATCACATACCTAGCGCGGCTGGTAGCCTGCGAATGCCTAGGCAGTATTCCAACGAGAATTGCACGACTATCAATGTAATTGGGCCCTATTCCTCGATTGTATGAAGGCGAACGCGTGAACGATCGCGAAAACCAGGAGACTAAACCGAAGATGCAAGAGGCGAACAGCTGGGGACCCCTGGCATTGGCTGCTAGCGCCCAGGCAGCAAGCTCAGTACGTACCTGGAATAGTTCAGGTTCGCCTGAGAGTGCTTGTTTGAGGCATTTGAACATTTTTATGCGCCTTTGGGCGCAAGATCTTGCTAACCATAGAAACCAGAGAATTGGCTAGAGAAGAAAATGGAAAGGATACGTATGATGAACACAGGTCTAAGAGTAACCTCAACCATGTTTAACAGGCCAACGTTATCATCCTTTCACCATGATTCCATGAGAAGCTAATCAGTTAGTGCAGCAATATGTGTGATCTATTTTCCAGATCTAATTTCCAGTGTAAATACCTCTCTCATGCGAGACGACCATACTAAGAACAATTTGCTCCTAATATGCGACTATCCAAAGAAAGGCTTGTTGTTGAGCGAGATCCCGCCATTACCAGTGCTGTGTACCAATCAGACAAGCCAGATATCTGACAATATTGAGGGTCGGCTTCTGGATTCAGTTGACGGAATCATACGCAGTAAGCTTTGAGCTCAAAATTGTAAAGAAAGCTTTTCTGGTACGAATACAACTAGTTTTTGCTTATACATGTAGGCTTTTAGTGGTGAGACAGTCAATGCAGATGCTCAGGAAAGAATGAACTCACTCCAGAAACCAGATGTTATGATACCCCCCTGGCATTGGTTGAGGTGATGCCATAGGCGTAAAACGACGTTCCCAACGCCTTGGCGAGTCCAAAATGAAAATGCTTCACTTGGCTGCTGGCAGGTCTTGTCTTGGCGGCCAACAACGGCAGGAGAGGTGCATTCAAGTGTCCCCAGTCCGCCTTGCGTTGTCATTGGCTGGCATCCACCACCCCTCTCCAACCAACATCGACTGTGCCGCTCAAGATGACTCGGCTGTGCCAACAGCAGGTGCGAAGGATTTCTCAACCTCACACAACCCGTCCATCTCCATCTTCTTCTCAACCCCTCATTATTGACGCAAGCAATTCGAACCGTTGCGTTTCTGCTCATCCGGCAAGCAGGAGTCCGAGACCATTTTCTGCTGCCGATTGATCGCCCTGGTAAGATCCGATGCCATAAGACGTCCGTCGCTGTGACTCCAGTCCTCACGCTGCCGGAAGCCCTTTCCGGTGTGACTCAATGCTAATCACGGATCGAGACTGGCTCCTACCAGACCTTCACCAGGTCTGCGACTACATCACAGAAACCCTCCTCGAGACACACCATTGTCAGGTGTCATCAGAAGCAAGACAAAATGATGACGTCGGTTGAAATCATCGGCTTCGTTAGCGCCGTCGCCGACTTCCTCGACTTGGCCGCCGAGAACATCACAGTCGCCCGGAGATTCGGGAATTCAGGCTCCACTACGACGAAGGCCGACGTCGACTTGGAGCGCCGCATCAAGTTGCTCGACGAACAGATCAATGCCGTTCATCTGAGCGGGCCGGAATTCGCAAGGGATGGTCACGAGGCCAAGCTGCTCACTCGCGTAGATAAATACCACGATCTCACAGTGCGGCTCCTCTCGCTATTGGATGGATTCAACTCGGCCAAATATGTCCTAGGAAAGGAGGCAAAACAGAGTTTGATCGACGAATTGAAAGATTGGCGGTCAAAAATTTATCATCGAATAACAAAAGTAATGAGGTAAGTTAGTAAGACTTGCAAAAAGTGACCTGAGAACATTGTGCTGACAGATTTACACAGACACGGTCTGAAACGCCTTCTTCGCCACAGAGGCAACCTAGAGTACAGCCTAAGGGCAGACCTAGAGGCCCTTTAGCACAGAATTACGCCGTCGGATGGAGCTGGAGATATATATAACCTTGGATTCCTTGGAGTCATGCGCAACGTTTCCAGCGACTTCAAAACGTGTATTGTGAAGTACGCGCAGAAGCAGATTCTGGACGAGCTGCGGGTTGATGGCATGAGAAACAGATTTGAAGAGGTCGAAAAGGCACACGAGAGCTCCTTTGCTTGGATTCTGGACCCTGATTCGCCCCTTCAAGAGAACGAATTCTTCGGTTCAGAGGCGCGTCAGCAGCTTGTGATCTGGTCTCTCCACGGGCACGGCATCTTCTACATCTCTGGGAAGCCAGGATCAGGCAAATCCACCCTTATGAGATATCTTTGCCAAAGCTCAAAGATGAAAAGGCATCTACGTGCTTGGGCGGGTGAAAGGGCCTTGTTGATGGCGAATTTCTTCTTCTGGCAGCTCGGAACGGATATGCAAAAGTCACTTGATGGCATGCGCCGTACACTGCTGTTTTCGGTTTTGGAAGAAGTGCCGACACTAATACAGAGTATGTTTCCGAAACACTATCAGTCTATCATGGAGGAACGACCGCTGCAAGTCCGTTCTTCAGACGTAGACGTGGCTCTGAAATTGCTTCTCGACCAAACCAACTTTTTAACTTCGCACAAACTTGCGTTTTTCATCGACAGCCTTGATGAGCTCGACGGAGACCATGACCATCTGATGAAAAATACTTCTGGAATGGGCCAGGAATTATGGAGAGAGTTTCAAGCTCTGTGTATCAAGTCGGGAATGGGAGGTATTCACACAACAGCTAGCCAGTTATCCAAAGATCCGGCTTCAAGACATCACAACTCACAACATCAGCAGCTGCATTGAGCAAGAACTACTAGAAAACGAGGAGTTTTTGGGTTATTCGGAAAAAAGCCCCAAGATACTGGAACTGGTAAAACACATCACAGAAAAGGCCGAGGGATCGTTCTTGTGGGTCAAGATCGTGCTTCGACGGCTGAAATGGAGCATTCTTTCTGGAGACCAATTAGAAGATACTCAGAAGAGAGTTGACGCCCTCCCGAACGAACTCGAAGATCTGTACCAATCAATATTCGACTCCATGGGAACTGAAAGCCACAGCAATCTCGACAGAATGAGGGCAATGCGATCACTTTTGACTGTCTTCCATTGCAAGAGGGAACCAGACGATCACCACCCTCCGTGGCTATTGATCTCCTATTCGTTTCTCAACGACTACGAACACGATCAACACTTTTCACTGAAGCTTCTGATTCAACCGATGCATCAAACTGTTTTAAACGAGAGGCTAGGATGTGCTCGCCGATTGGTCTATCAAAGGTGCATGGGAATGCTGGAGACATTTACCCTAAGCACAGACGATAAGCCGCGTTATTCACCAGCTGGGCTCGACATAAAAGCGGTAAAGAAGCATTCGAAATTGGAATTTAGACTAGGATATCCGAAAAAAGAGGTTCATTTGGAGCCCGCAAAGAGCAGGAACGACAGCGATGATGGTGTCTATGGCTTCGTTGATGATTATTACACCAGTGATTCCCCCGATGACGATGACGAAGACGTTATTGAGGCTAAGAACGACGGAGACAACGCCAATCATCTGCATAGGAACGCAAAATATAAGGATGAGAGGAAAATCAACAACCAATTCCCATCTCATAAGGGAATCAGATGCGTTCACAAGACCGTTTACGAGTTCCTTGCTCAACCCCAGATTGAGACGATAATGCGCGCCGAATCGATGGGTTTCAACGAAGTGGACTTCAAGCTCCAAGCATTTCTCGCAACAATGAAAATCTTTCGTCCAAGCGTTCATTATGCGAGGAGGCGTTTTCTCTTCGACTTTGAATCACTGGTCACCCACTACCATTCTATGCTGAACCAAGTGTCCGAGGTCCGTTTCCTGGCGTTTTTGGAGGAACTAGCTCGTGTTCTGGAACATCATGGAGCTGTCGTTGAACATATGTGGTCTCGCTTTATGGGTGGTGGCCTGACAAGAACGGTGCACCAGGCTTGTCGTCCAGCTTACAGTGAGTTGGTTCTACTAGCTGCAAAGATAGGCATCTCTAAAGGACTTTGTTCTCTGAGCGGAATGCAACTCGCTCGCCGACTCCAACAAAACTTGAAGAGCAACGACCCGGATGTTGTTCTTGATACATACTTTGAGGGTGCATTTGACTATTTCGACATAGACAAAAATCATGACAAGATGGAAAGAAGAGCGTATAAAGCGAGGATTTATCAGGAACTCGCTGCATACTTTGAAGCTGGAGTTTCGCCCAACGCCAGATTTAACCACGTAATACGCGGATGGAAAGAAACGTACAAAATGACTCTGACCTGTTGGCACATGTGGTTGAGGAGGATTTTGGGTCATGAAGACGATGCAGATCTTGCCGAGTCTTTCATCAAACTATTCCTTCTGCACGGAGCCGACGAAAATATTTGGGTTCGAGTCGACGAGGAGTGGTGCAGTCTGTGGTGGCCGGCATCGGCGGGTTGGGTGGACATCTGTGCTACAAGAAGATATGACGAGGACGAGGATGTCTCAGCTGAGAATGCCTCATTAGTGTACCATTTTGTCAAGAAGTACGAGGGTGGATTTCCTACCGAGCCGCGTGGGAAGTTTCTCCTGGAATTATTTCCGCAAGGCGGCCCCGAAATGAAGCGCTTGGCAGATCGGAACTTGGGTTCACAACAAATGACGGAGCCATCCTTCATGATGGATGATATTTGGTGAGCCCTGGAGGAATTTTCAATGCGAACCAATTAAGTGGCCAGTGGGCCACAACGGGTACCGCCAGGCTTCGGCTGAACCTACCACCAAGATGGTTGAAAAATCACGATGTGAGTCACGCTGGCTGCGGAGACGGCTTCTCTCAAGGTCTTCGATGAAAAGCTTGATGCCGCCAGCGTGGGTATAAGGGACGGCGGCTGCTACGCTAGGCTTCGGCCGTTCCTCTTCACACCTTCAAACGCAATAAACCACGGCGATCTGCCACAACACCATGGAGTCCAGCATCTGGACAAGGGCCCCAGCAGAATGCAGGCTCACCCCGATCGAAATCCCCACGCCGAAAGCCATCGACGAAGCGAATAGATGGGGTATCTTCAAGAAAACCATCAGTCCCGAGGACCGGATGTCGCGCAGCGCATCAGAGAGCGAGCTATCGCCGGAAATAAGATTGGGCAGTCTCTCCTTGTCAGGGTACGACAGTGAGTTGGTGTTGCTGTACAGGGTCTGGCATTTGGGTGGGGATTGAAAACCGGCGACTGCGCTGGCGAACGCGTGAAGCTTCTGGCATCGCAAGAGGAGGAAATAGGCAGGGCATTGGTACTGCCAATTGATGCGCTCGAGGTTGGGAAACGCCAGTGTGAGCGCCACCATGCTGCCCGGGTCCAGGCATCTCCCGCCGGGATAGACGTAGAAGGATGTGACGCAGGGAACGGCAGCCGAACATGTGGCGGCGGAGCGAACGTACGAGTAGCTGTAGCGCTCGCTGAATATATCTTGTCGCTTACCTAGATCGACTTCGTACCGGTCCTTGTCGAACTTATCCTGGCCACGATGGATACCGTACATTGGCGAATGCATGCCGAGGACTAGATACAGCTTACCGCCGGGCAACCACCGGGACAATTCCTTCAGCAAATCTGACATGTGGTGGCTGAAGAAATGGTCATTCGCGGCCCCATCGTCGGCTGTTTCTTATTTGGCGCAGTGCTCAACGCTGTATCGTGGCAAAATGATGTCTAGGCGAAGGCCCCGGAGGAAGCGGCGACGTGGCGTGTGACTCTCAAAGGCCAGATGAAAGGTCTCTAGATCGCCATTTGCTGGTGATGTAGAGGGATTCAAAGGTCAAGGGCTCGATGACACATTGCCAGGAGCGTGATGATGTAGCCAGGGTCGGTCGGATGCGTCCTCCCTCGTGTAGGTCATGGAGGCAACTGGCGATTTGACCCACTACCTCTAGCGGAAGGCGCTCCGTTCAGTCGGATGAGGCCAGGAGGGGTGGTGTGAAGTTGAGTGTGTGATACGAATGCAAGTGATACCTTGTCGGTGAATATCTAAGGTACTCTTATATACTTCAGCGTGTCTGGATGAGCCTCGGGAGAGCTATGTAAATCCCATGTGCTCATCTGCTAACAGTGAAAATATGCTTCCCCTTAAGAATCCCACGGGTACAGATTTCATCGCAAAGTTCCTGCCCCTGGTAGTCATTAGACAAAAGGCACAGAGAAATTAGGCTTTGCCTCAAAATGCCCCAGCTGGGCTGGCAGGATGAGGATGGCAAGTTGAGCCTACAGTGTAGATCATGAGGGATTATCATCTATATGCGTAACCAACACAAGTTGCTGTTAGCTAAGTATGCACTCATCCACCCAGGGAGAACTTTATTGATTAATCCCAATTCTGGCTGTGTTATGTTTGATGTTCTTCCTTGTGTACTTGTCTGCCTGGCCCCCGAACTTTGTTCTTGGCAGGCTGAATCATCGCTCAGAGTGATTGCTCGATGTTTGTGCCGGTATGCAGTGTTGGGTCTTTTGTTTTCCTTCGTTGGGACCCCTTCAAGAGCACCCTGAATGGCCCCCGTTTAGCGCCGTAGAGTAAGGTATGCGAGGTTGCGGCGCAGCAAATAGAGGTTACGTAGTTCTCGCCTCTTCATCGCACCCCCCATCCTTAAGCACAATACACGCCCCTGGATTGGGCACGCTTCCGCATATTCTTCCCCGGCCTTGCCAAAGCCTTTCCAACATAAAAAGCCCGACCTTGCGAACCGGAAGGCTCAGTTGAGTGCAACTACAGCTGCCAACACAACCCCTCTTTCCCCTTCTTAAATTACACAACAAAAATGAACAAAGAACGCGATGTCAACTCTGCGAAGTCGGCCGACATGCCCCCGGGGATGGCCCCAATGAGTGATACTCGAGCAAAATCAATTGAGGACTCTTTGCAGCGCAGCAAGGAGTTCCGAGACGTGTTTCCGGACGTCGACTTTGGCGGAGGCGTCATCGAACCCACAGTCAACCTCACTTTTGACCTGAAGGTAACACATTCCCTTCATAGGACGCTACCTTAGGATAGGAGCGCACGCCTGAGAAACAGATATCGGTTTAACTTGACGGCTGTAGGAGAAAGTCGACGATGAAAACCGGAAGCGCCATGAGGGGCTGATGGCGGGGATGTTCGAGCACGTTGCTGAGCCCGCTCAGGCTGAACACTTCTTCTGGAAGGCAAGGGAGTGCCTCGAAGCTTACCCGGAGGTCCTGTCGCAGTTTGAAAAGATATATCTTGACGGCAGGCCAGTGTCGGTGATGATTGGGCAGTTGAATGAGGCCTTCTCCCTTCAGAAGGCCAATATGGCGGGAAGTAGCAAGATATGTCAGGCGTAAGCGGCCATTATAGTCTTTCATGATGGGGAAATCAGTGTATTTTATGCATTTTTCAGGTAGTCTAGAGTAATGGATGCAAATTGTCCGACATCCGCAGATTTCCGTCTATCTCTCTGAACCTTTTTAAGTGAACGTCATCTGCGCCACATTTCCCAGGACTCATCTCAAGTAGGAGCCATAGGCGCCCGTATACAGGCACTATCCAAATCTGCATCTCACAATGACTTATTCACATCACATGTTTTCACCCGATTTAGCACTAAATTTGCAAAGTGGTGTCTGGAATCGAGGTTGCCCTTGGGGTTGTTATTGGCTCGGCGTTTGTGATAACCTTGAAGGTAATATGCCCCCTACACATGCTCAAGGCAGATTCAAGTACAGTTGTAGAAGCCGACTAAAGTCCGGAGTTCCCAACCCTGTCACAGGATCCCATCCATCAGACGCCGCAAACGCTTGGGTGACACCACAGCCGCTGTTCCAACCGTCTCCACATCGCGGAGGGCCTTCTTCCCGACGCCGTACAAAAAAGGATTGAGAAATCCTACTGGACTTTTGCCAACCGCCTGTCTGGCGTTGTTAATGAGGGCGACCATGGATGCAAACACAGGAGCTGACGCCAATGTGCCGGCGACGCGCCATAGTTTGCCGTTGGAGTAAGCGACCACATCGTTGGCTACCGCGGAGACGTCCGGGAAGCCACGACCACGCGGATTGAAGTGACCTGCAGTCGACAGATTCCACAGATGACTCTGCAGCGAGGGCTGGTTGAGATAGGACCTTGATGCGCTCTGTTGGTAGAAGGGCGTCTTAAAAACCCTGCTGTACCCGCCGCCCGAGCTCGAAGGGGGGTTCGAAATGAAAAAGGCTGTTTCGGGAGGGAATGAATTCCAGCTTGTCCCATTCTTCCAGGTTGAGTTGGTGGGTATCAACTGCGTGCCACCGACAGTGGTCACCCATGGGCAGGAAGCAGGGAACCCTGGCGTGAAGTGGCCATGTGTTCCGTTTGTCGTTACATTTCCTGAGTTGGGGTCGATGCAGGAATTTCCTTGGTGGGAGGTCCCGGTGTCGCCTGAGCTGACAATGACGCTGACGCCTCGCAGCCCAAGCTTCAAGTACTCAAGGCACTGGCGCTGGAGATACCCCTCAGAAAAGGTGGCTTCGTTGTAGAAGTACGAGACTGAGATCACTTATGGAGGATCGTAGACGCCGCAGTCCGAAGAGTTGTAGCCCCCAGGCCGCGTGTTCGGATACACGGGATCAAAGTTGGGATCTAGGCCGGTAAGGCAGTACTCCTTGCTATATGCTCCCAGCATGGTGTTCAGATTGCCACCGAGGAACTGATCGCCGACCTTGATTCGCATCATTAGCACTTTTGATCCATATTTTGAGGGCTCGGACTCGACTTACCTGGATGTTCGTGACCGGGAGCGGGCTGATAAGCGACATGGCGTACTCATGATCGAGATTAGACTCCAGGTTGAAGGGCCACATTTTGACATCGTCCTGCAGGTAGCCTCCATTGATTGGAAGAACTGTTGGTCTTTTACCAACAAGCCCCAGATGGAAGCGCGAAAAGAAGCTGTCGAGATCCTCCGGCAGCCAGCTCACCCAGGCAGGCTGGTAGATGCCCAACAAGTTTTGCGAAGGCGAGACGACAGCATTGTAGAGGGCATGTTGTAAAGCGACCGATAACATTCGGTCGTCATATACTTGAAGCAGTCTAGTTGTTGACTTTTTGGACTCTGCCGCTTGAAAGTTGCCGTTGACAGCATGTTGAATGGCTTTGCCTTGGCGACAGCAGACGGCACTCCGCCTAAATCAATCCCGGGAAGCACCGCATCGATATTACTCGAGATATGTACGGGAAGTCGAAACGACTTAGTAGCCAACTGAACGGAGTTGTCCTTGGAGTAACTGTAGAACGTAGCGTCGATGAGCCGTTCTGCTCTCTCGACGGTGGTGTTGAAGAAAATGTGGCTGCCGTCGGAACTCACGCTCATACTGGAGCGCGGTATGCCGGCAGAGTTCAACCACTGCGCAGTCTGACGGACCACGTCTGCTGATGGGGCAAACATCTTAGACACCTCGTCCGCAGAAAGATGCTGGCGGAACTTGTCCGAACTTGGGTCGGAGATGACACGGAGAACATCTTCGGCAGCCGAGATGCCAGACTCAGGAACGGAGAGGGTGAAGTCCATACGGATAGGGTGGTTTCCGGGCGCCCTAGATTCTCGTCGCCAGCCGGCCTCACGCCAGTTGCCGGACATGGTCCATGTCTGCTGTTTGGCTTGAGGTTTCGCTTGCGAGAGAGCCATCGCCAATTGGGCGACTGCGGTGACCAGGTACAGACGCATCATGATGATACGACCTTTCCGAGTGAGGTTGAGGATCTAGCTACATAGACGTATCACAAACTGAATCTTTAAATGCGCTTGCACTCAGACACAAGGCCGTAGAACGCCTTACGCAGAGGCTGTACAATACCCCCAAGCCTACGAGGGGGACGTTCTCCTAACTACATACCGTATGCTGTTGGAAGGGGTCGGTATCTTGTAAACTAGAATTCTGAAGTGCAGGCAGCCTCTGACGGTGAATATAGAAGCCTGCGTTCCACCCCTTCACACCAATCAGCTCAGGAACAGCATCGTCCCATGACAAGGGTGACTGACCAGCCTGGCCCCCCAACGATTCCCAGGACATAAAGACAATTGGAAGATTTATAACGTTGGTTGGCAGTGGCTGACTTTATTGAGGAGAAAGGGACCCCACGCATAGCCCGCTCGGCAGCGGAAGCGCCCGCTTGTGCGGCGTAGCCAAGAAATGCTGCGTCTTCTGGAACTTTGGTATGAGGCTATTGTGCCGTGCGTCTACAGTGAATATGAGGTGAAATTGGGGTGTAGCCGACCCCATCTTCCCTGCGCCCAGGCACATTGTCGCATGTATTGAAGTTTAAGGTGGCCGAGAACATGCCAACAATCATGTGTTGAAGCAAGACCGATGAGATCGACGACCGAGGAGCCTCTGAGATACCGTCGCAAGACGTACAGCGTATACTCTCGGGGTCGACTTTGAGGTTCGAATTTAGCATACTGCTCAGGCGATTCAAACAATCTGAGCATCCTCTTGACTACCTAAGGTATGTTTTGAGATGAACTAAGCAGTTAACACGTGGAGCCATTCTGGAAACCTTCATTCTGCTACTCCAAAAGCCCAAGTGCCAAGCAGGAATGCGATGGCATGGTAAGCAAGGCGGGGAGGTTGGTTGATTGTAACAAGAACCGGGCATTCTGCGGATGGACCCAACCATTCTCATCTGTCTAATATCCTTCCAACATGCATGCATCCGTATAGTCGCCTTGGGGGTACACGGATCGATTTGATACTCTGTTCGCATGTTGGAAGAGGAAGTACTTTGGTCCAACCCCATGTTTAGCTTTCCTAACTCGACGTAGGCGTTTTCGATCTGCCAAGATTTCCTGAGTTCTCACGCTCATGGGCTTGGCTCTGGACTCATCGAAATACAGTAGGGCCCAAGACCCGAGTTCGTTGTCTTGAGTCTTTGATAACAATAAATACCGTGACAATCCCCAGCCAGATGAATCTTCTTTTCTCATCTCCATCGCACTCAACACTCCAAGCTCAGGTCCAGATTCATAACCACCTTACTGCTTTCGATAGCTCTCAACCGACTTCAACCTTTCACCATGCGTCTCATTCCGGCTTTTGTTATCGCCCTGGCTTCGGTTGCCTCTGCAGGACCAATTGCCAACGAGAAGAGGGTGAGCTCGGAAAGAATCATCCTGTTAAAGTCGAGTTTTGCTAACACTCTGATGTGTATAAGTCTGGCGGGAACGCGGTACGTTCTTGAGCATCTTGTCATCTCAAAGCCTTGTACTAGCACATGGCGCTGTTGTTTGTCAGAGCTTGAATGTTGCAGAGCTAATTCGAGGCAAAATTTTAGCCGGCTTGCATGGCCTTCTGTTGGGAGTTTTGCATCGTTCCTACGGCCTGTGGTACTTGCATCGCCGCCTGTATGGCGGTGGCCAACCCCGTAGAGGAGCTCGACACTTCTGAGTTTCAGGCCATTGTTGACGCCGCGAAGCCTGGGCCTGTGGCGGCTCAGTAGTTGGTTCAACTGCGCAATACTATTGAGTTTCTGCGGACATTGTGGGAAACATCTTGGACTTGAATAGTAACTGTTTGTGAGCGAGGGTTTGGTGGTTCAGTACTGGTTCGGCGAATGTAGACACTCTTTACATCATGAATAAAACTTCGATCTGCGGCATTTCGCTGCGGATTGTCACAAACACTATTGGAAATATGTCTGGTATAACTAGCAATAACCTGTAAAGAAACGCCCTTGATAAGCTGGGTAAGGGCGAATTGTATGCGATTTGAAGGTTCGACAGCAATGAGGGACATTGCACGCCCGGGCAAGCAGTAACGCTATGCTTCCACCAACGACATTTCAACAATTTTCTATTCGTGCGAACCTAGGATGTGTCTTGAAATGGAGACAATGAAGCGCGTATGAGGAGATTTTTCCTCCTGCAATGCCTCCATTGACACAGATGGTTTTCAAATTGCTTAGAGACTAGCGAAGAGGGGTTTTCCGCCCATTAAAGAGAGCCCGGACCACATGAAGAAATCAGAGCCTGCCATGGCGAACTCTCAAATGTACATGCACACCTATATACAGCAAGCAGCAAATTCATTGTGACCTTTTCTCTGGTTGTGGCCAAGTTATGTCGCCAGTCTCATCCCTTTGGCCCCGAGAAGCAACTTTTAGGGTGACTTGGCGACAGCAGCCAGTAATGGGTGGCCTATGAGATTGAGCTGGTAGCTGGTACGTCGGCCAAACAGGTCTTCTCTTAAGCTGATCTCCGCTGCTTATCTAACCACCTCAGGAAACCTGGTTCACTCGCCAGGTATTAAGGCACGCTAAAACAGCGGCTTCTGGGGGTCAAAGGGAGCTGTACCACTGTCCATCTGTAATTGGCTCCTCGTCCGTACACTAATGCACTAAGCCGTGCGATCAAGCGTGGCTGGCCGCTTCTAACCATTCACGATTCCATGCCGCCTGGCTTCCAAACGGCGCTGGAGTCAGCCTAGACCTCAGATAACGGCGAGCGAACATCATAAAATTTGGCATAGCAGCAGAGGGCGGCATGCTGAGCACAATGATTACCATGAGCGGGACGTTGATAGGAGTTGGAATTAGACATTTTCCCGGCTCTAGAATCTTTGTCAGCCATGTATGGGAATGTCTCTGAAGTCGCTGTCTTTGGCATCTACCTAGATCCTTCCAGCTTGATATCGTTTGAGGTACCAATACTGCAGTTTTTGAGATACATCATTGAGATACATGTTTGAAGCTAAAAGCTGATCATGTTGCGGTTTGAGACAGCGACGCAGGCATCCATCAGTTGCAGCACACCGCCCCTCCAGTCCAAGCAGAAACAAGAGAAATGTAACTTTCAGCTCCAACGATCATATTCAACATAAAGACCAGCTTGATTCCATCTCCCACCAAGCCCGTTGCCTCGTTCTTGCATGCTCAACAGGCATGAGTAAAAGTCCTCCAAGATGCCCCCCTCTTTTGGTCCCGACACACTCTTGTTCTCATGGAATCTCTTCATGAGTATTCGGGACCCTCCTACCCCCCAAAGCGAACGCAAACAACGCCCGGAAATCATCGAAATTTTGTCAGACAGCGATGAAGATGCCCAAGGCAGGACACCGACCCGGCGGCCGAGACGTGCCAACGACAGATCTCAATACCCCACCCCACCACCATCGCCTCCGTCGCCGTCATCAACCAGGCGCCAGCAGGTCGCACGAAACGACACTGCATCCCGCTTTCAAGCTGCTCCGAGGGTTCCTGTTGGAGAGCCAGGTGGCGTTCCGCATCGACGACAACTCACCCCTGCTGTGACTACCTTTCAAGGTGGCCCTATTCGCTTTGCGGGCGCTACAGAGACTCGTACCGCACAAACTAGCACTACGAAAGCTGGTTCCAGCACCCCAAACATTGCCAAGAGATCTGGCAATCTCAAGATCGAACCGGGCGAGGGTTCAATGGCGCCCAGAACAGGTATTTTCTCTCCGTCCAAGTCTTGGTAGCAGGTCACTAATGCTATTGGGCATTCAGGATGGTTGCCGCGCACCAAATAGGCCCCTGGCTGGCGATCTTGGTGCCGGCACTGAGCGGAGAAAGAGCGGAGTACGGCTTTGCCAGAATGATGGCTGCGTATCCGTCGGGTCTCATGATCGGAACAACCGGCAGGAAGTGACTTTTGAAGATGCAGTTACCTCATGTATGCTTTGGAGATGAGTAAAGAAATGTCAGACAATAGTACCCTGAGCCTCGGCGGGACCATCCAGATGGATCAATGACGTGATGAGGGCTTAACAAGGAAGATCAGGACCGGATGATAGAGTGACATGCACAAAAACAGTTAGTTCGTCTCGTATGCCTCCGTTTCAGGGGTTCTTACCTCGCAGTAGTGTCCGTTGAAGGTTAAGTTTGACCGAACCACTGATATGGTCACTGGGTCCTGCCAAGCGTTTGCCATGCTTTCTCCACAAATATAGGGCTATCACCGTGGCGGATATCGATTTCATTGGTCTCCCCAGTTGCGTGACATTTCCCGATAGCTTGCGATAGCTTGGATAGCCTATGGTAAATCCTGCGAGTATTCTGCCAAAAGATCCAGTCGGTACGGCATAAATTGAAGGTGGCATCAAGTGCTCGGGAAGCGGTGTTCTAGGTAGCAAAGCGATCGTGCTTACGGGTGCCAATTCCGAACCGCCTTGTTAAATAAACCAGAAAGGTGGGCGATTGCAAAGCTCGGGTGACCGATACAGCTCGGAAATAAATCGATCCACGCGTCTATTCAACTTCTTTTTCAGGAGCCATCGTGTCATTTGCCGAGAAAACACACTCCATCAGTTACTTTTTTTCTACTACAACCTTTCCACTGCCACTCTAGCAATCCCTTCCGCCGCCACTCTAGCAATCTTCAAGATGCCCTTCGTTGTATTACCTGCTCTCGTCGAAGACATCGAACGGATCTACGACATCCAGTTCGCGGCTTTCAAAGATGAGCCCATAATGAGATTCCTCTACCCCAATGGCGTCGACCGGAAACTTCACACAGAAGGTACGCATGAGTGGTGGAAGCAAGACCAGATCGGCCATCCAGTCAAGTGCGTCGACACCGAGACGGGCGAAATTGTCGGCATGGCGGTGTGGGACATTTTCTGGCGACCTGGCGAGGAGCACGCATTCCAAAAGCCGGAGGGCATCCCGTGGCTCACGGGTGACGACAAGAAGAAATGCGAACGGATATTGATGCCCATGTGGGACATGCGCGTCCAGCTCTTTGGCAAGCGCAGGTACATCTGTAAGTTTCCTGATCGTCATCACGGCCCCAAAGGCTGATGTGTCTTCAAAGACCTCTCGACGATAGCTGTGGACCCCAACCGCCAGAGACAAGGTATCGGCCGCGTGCTCATGCAGTGGGGGGCCGACGTTGCAGATCAATTGCAACTGCCGATCTACACCGAGGCTTCGGATACAGGGTTCTCACTGTACGCGAACGTGGGGTTCGAGAGACTCACCCATGTGAGCATCGTCCACTCCGCCGAGGCGCGTGGGAAGGACGAGGCCGCCGAGGTTCCCCTCGTGGTCAGGATGCCCAAGGCCGCCGGTGGGATCAAGTTCAAAGACTGGTCAGAGGCAGGCTTTCCGGAAGACTTCAAATTTTGAGGTAGAGCCATTTAGATGGCATCCATCTGGGTCGACGTTGAAGTGGTTGCGATCAGCACTCAGCGGAATGTGGGCGGAACGTATGGGGACGCCCCCCAAGAAATGCTCGTGACCTGTGAGCACAAAGTCCTCTAGCGAATAATTTCAACTGAAATAATAGTATCGTCTTATTACATATCAATAGTCGTTTTCAAGGTTGAGTGTCTTTCAATTCTGAATTTGTCAAACTTTCTGCTGTTGCTCACAGATTTAGCCTTTAGGTACTATGGGTTGAAGAATAAGACGTCAGACGATACTTAGATGCATGAAATAATGCACAAGTCATATTTAGGCCAATCAAAGACGGATCTTGAGAAACCTTGTTTCGAGCATGTTGATTAGATAGACTCTGGACTTGGTGGATTTAGTTCGATAGACATTGGGACTTTCTAAGTTTCAAAAGATTGTCGCTCCCCAGTCGCATCAACCACCAGATACGGTCCACGAGCCATCTATTTCCAACGCAGAATCTTTCCAAATGGATTGGTCTCTGATACCAGCGAGAGTTCTGTAGGAAGTACTTCGACCAAGTTGAAAATTCGGAAGAAGAGAAGCCCAACATCCTGATCAAAGGGGGACTATGCCCAAGACGGATCTCTTTCTTCAGTACGCCGCCGGCCTTTGTGTGACATTCTCCAAGTCACGACAAGCAGAAGGTAATTTTATCATACTATTTCAACCGAACCACAAATGAAAGAAAGACTGTGGGGAGGAGTGGGATGATTGAACAGTGGATGGGCGAGGAATCTAGACGGGATGAATGACGTTAATTCTGCAATACAGCCCAGGCTTGCATTATGTAACTCACCAATTAGACGTGGGATATTTGGTTAACTTCACCCTGCATATTTTCGTATTCCCAGGTCAGTTTCGTATACCTTTGTCGTATTTCGTATTTGAGCGGGAAGCGAATGGCGTGTGTGAGGTTGCTGGCAATTAAACGGAGTATATATAATTCCTAGAACGACTAAAAATCGGGGAAAGTTGGAAACAAACTCATCGTACTTTGCAATCGTCAAAGATGAATGGCATTGCTTTTCTCTGGCTTTGGGTTGCGGGAGTGACGGCCAGCTACTTCAATCCCATCCTTCCAGGCTTCCATCCGGATCCAAGCTGTACTTATGTTGAGAGCACATTCTTTTGCGTGACGTCAACTTTCACCTGGTTTCCCGGTGTTCCCGTCTACGCCAGCAAGGATCTCCGCCGCTGGGAGCTCGTAAGCAGCGTGCTTAATCGGCGAGAACAACTACCACAATTTGCGGACGCCCCAACTGGACAAGACGGTCTTTTCGCATCAACGATTCGCTACCATAATGGCACATTCTATGTCACGACCACCTACGTCTCTATCGCTTCCTACGAGAACTTCGTCATGGAAAACCTAATCTTCTCAACCAACGACCCATACAACGCGTCCTCGTGGGGCATTCCGACCAAAGTTGACTTCATCGGTTACGATCCATCGTTACTGTTCGATGACGACTGAACGGTCTACTCCACTGGAACTGCTGCGCTCTCGACGGGGACTGCAATCGCTTTGGCCACCATCGATGTGGACAGCGGTTCCCTTGGCCCCATTAGCTACCCATGGAATGGAACTGGTCTAGGCACCGCCGAGGGGCCGCATGTATACAAGAAAGACGACTGGTATTACATCCTCGTCGCCGAAGGGGGAACGAAGGAAAGGCCACCGCGGATCAATTGCGAGATCCCTCGCCGTCGGCGGCCCCTACGAGAGCGACCCCGCGAACCCAATTGTCATCGCTGAGCACCGCAATTCTTCGTATTTCCAAACCGTTGGACACGCCGACCTTTTCCAAGATGAAGATACAGGGCTTTGGTGGGGAGTAGCTCTCGCAATGCGATCAGGGCCAGACTTCGTGTCATATCCGATGGGCAGAGAAACCGTGTTGTTTCTTGTCTCATGGCCGGATGAGGCTGGGGGGTGGCCAAGCCTGCTAGAACCAGTCAGAGGGCAGATGGGCACATCGCTTCCTGGTAAAAGTTGCAATTCAAGTGGGATACCTGGTACAGGAGATGAGCCTGATGTCGTTGACTTCAATGTCTCTTCGGATTTGCCAACACATTGGTTGCATATTCGTTATCCAGAGGGGGCAGCATACGTCATTTCCCCTCCTGGACACCTATACCAGTTGCAACTCGGACTATCGGCAAGAAACCTATCCTCGGTGGTTACGCGCAACAGTACGATGCCCAACACCAATACGTTCTTGGGCCGAAGACAGACCGATACACTTTGTAGTTTCAGCGTCGATCTCGAATTTCACCCAAAAGGCCCAGCAGACGAAGCCGGTGTGTCGGTTTATCTAGACGAAAAGCGACATATAGATTTTGCCATCATAGCAGATGATCAGATGGTAGATGGCAGACGCTTACGTCTTCGATCGTTTAGCAACAACGAAAATTTGACCTTGCCGCAAGACGTCATAGTGCCGATACCTGGGGATAAAGAAGCAGACGCTGCTGTGCGCCTAGAGGTCAGGGCAGAAAACACCACGCACTACGTGTTTCTTGCGGCGCAGGTCAGCGGAGCAGAGAGCGAAGATACCAATATGACGATCGTCGGGCATTCTTCGGCAAGCTTCGTGAGTGGCGGCTACACTGGTACCGTAGTTGGGGTTTACGGGACTACGAATGGAGAGGCGACAACAGCCAACACCTCTGTAGCATATGTCAGCCGATGGAGGTACTATAGTAAAGGGCATCACGTTGATCACGACGAAGTTGTTTAGTCAGGGAAATGTAATAAATGTGCATGTGTCTCTAGGCAGTGTCGGCCCACCAGCATTTGCAGAATCCTAAAGCGAATAAATGGACATGCAGGGTAGTTCACATTTCAATCAAGTAGCAAGGGTCAGTATAGTAGATCAAATTCCGGAACACCTCCGAGATCTCTGCTCAGAACGTCAAACTCAAAGTGCTCCGCTACCCAGGGATACGTGATATCAGACAGATCAGAGGCTGTGCTTGTTCCATCCCCTGGCTGTGCTCCTTGTTGACTGTTGCTAGAAGGGAAGTCTAATGGGGACCAAATCGCTGATGCGCTACCTTCTTGGAGCACATCGTAATGTCGATCGTGGTCGAAGTTCACTTCCAAATGAGTATCGCCAATAGAGCTTGTATGCGACTTAGACATAGATTGAGACGTAATCCAATGTCTCCAAGCATTCCTTCCTTGCTGTTGTGTCTGATCTCTCCGTAATGACAGGGACGCGTGGTTTTGTTCGTGATGCTGTTGGTCTGTAGTTGTTGAAACGTTCGCCATAGCATGAACGATTCCTCTCAGGCTCGAAGCTACGGATTCGCTCCCCATGGCTAGTTCCGTGAGGATAAGAATACCCTGAGAAATGATTTTCATCGGTGCAGCGATGTTACCCGCCAACCTAACCCTGGCAAGCAAAAGCACGTGAAGGGCCAGCTGCAGTGCAGCGAATCGTGGAAAGACGGAGCGCACAAAAGAGACGATGACTTCAGCTTGGACATGATTTTAATACACGCGACGGCTGATTGAACGCATTGCTGGGCTTGCTGCTCTAGAAATTTGGTCGCATTTGGGGCCAGAGGCTTATCGGACTTCCTCGTTGCTGCGTTGTAGTTGAGACATGATCGTGTCAGCAATATGATAGCTTGCTCAAACGTCAAAGCTAGATGGGCCTCAGATATGCCCTGAAGAGCGCAGACCTGAACGCTGACCATGGATGATGAGCAGATGATATCTGGAAGGAGCTTGCGTGAAACCTCGTAGAAGCGCCAGCCTAGATTTGGAGCTGGGACGGGAACTTTGATGCGGGAAATATCCTTCAGACAATGGATTCCCTCTTCTACTAGGAGTCGATTTGATTCAATAGACATCTCCGAAGTCGGGGCGATGCCAGTGTCCGCAAACTGACTGCCGATGGCGAGGACCATGAAGAAGATGGAAATGAGTTCAATCGATCGCCGGGAGTTCCGAGAGTCTCTTGCTTCAAACTCGTGCGTTCCGTCATAAAAGGCCGTGAGTTTGCGAGAGAATATCTCCGGATGAACACAGAAATAATTGGCCTGGCCGTGCTCGAAAAACGATGTAGTCAAATAGTTTACAACCTCCTGGGGCGGGAGAGCTGCATTGACTGAAGTCCTCCAGTCGGTTCCGAAGCTTAAGTCGGAGATCTGGTGCAGACTAATGTCTCGACAGTCCTAAAGAAATCTTAGCGAGCTGTCGCCGACAGGGGCTGAGAAAGGGATAGAGGAATGACCTACAGCATCTCCGTTCTCACTTTCTTCGTCTACATCACCAGCGAAAACTTGTTGCACGGAGGTAAAGAATGACCACAAAGAAGACGTGCCCTCGAAGTCTGTTTGCTGTCAGTTCAACCTTTTATCATTTACCACGCATTCGAGGGGATATGCTCACGGGTTTTGCCTTGGTTGACAACTGTCACAGAGGCAGCGTGTGTTGATACCGCATCGCAGTAGATTATATCCTGAGTTGTAGTTTGATCCAAAGTCTCATTTCTCAACTGACCTACTGCCTCAGTTGACGGCGTACCACCAACACTGTCATCGGAGGTTTGGGCGACCAAGTGCGAATAAAAACGTTCCAAAGCTTTGGCCTCAATTGGAACATCGGGGTGCTCTCTTGAAAAAATTTCCTGTAGGAGTTGAAGCTTCTCATCACCACGATCCTTTCGTTCTGCATGTGATGTCGGGTTAAAATATGATCGCCTGGGTGAATCTACAGGCGTATCACTGCCAGGATACTGGCATTGCCTTTGGGCGCCTTGACATCTGTCACAGGGGGCTTGCCCATTGCAACGGAGTTTATTTCGGCGACAAAGCTTGCAGCTGGTCCAGTCGATCATTAGCTTGCGAATGGATTTGACATGCTGAGTTTATCTTGAGCTCACGCAATCTTGACCCTCTTTCTTTGGTCATCAGGTACCCGAGGCCTCTTCCGTCGGCCGGTCGTCTCAACGGGTAGGGTCTCCAACTCAGCGCGCATGTCAACGTCGGATATGTTTTGTGCCCTAGTTTCAAGACCTTTCGGAAAGACCATCGGATACTTGTTTTATGGATAGTTAGTTGTTCGAAGTCTCCCCTGCGATCCTTATCAACCCCCTATCTCGGGTGCATGTACCCGATCCCCGCACAAACTTGAGAATGACCCCGCAGTTGAAGACGCCTGGTCGCCGTCCACTCATTTCCAGCACTTGCTGCCAGTACCGTTACCCAGTCGGATTGCAGAACTCAGGACGAGTCAGATACATCTTTCTTCAACCATAACCCACGCGGGCCGATAGATTAGCTCTGATCGCTAGCGACAACAATGATCGATAGGCTGTGAGCCTATTCTCACTTCGGGACCGGAGAGATGTAATCTGGTGTCTGCCAGTTTGGAATTTGTTATTCGGGCGGGTTTTTCTGGCTATCAGAGCAGAAAGTGGTTATGAAGCAGAAGCGATGGTGACCAGACAGCAGCAACGACAACGGTAACGAGAGTAGTAAAATGACCCGGTTTTTATACTTTCCAAAGACAGTTAATCAAGAAAACTGAGGTATGGAATTAATTTGTTAAGCCCAGGTTTCTGCCTGGTGAGCTGAAGGTTTTGCCTAGTTAGCGAGACACCACAATTTTGACCACAATTTGATTCTCAACACAAAAATAACGAGCGGGCGCACAGAAAGCTCATCCTCTATTGATCTTCAGAATTCTGGTCATCTGGCGTACTATTCGGAGGAGGGAAACTAGACAACAGCAAAACAGCCACCGCTGCCATTGCAACGCCCTGTGTTGTTGTCAGCGTTTGAAACAAATCCATATACCCAAGCAGAACCAACAGGAACATACCGCGTTACAAAAGAACGTTAAATATGACTTCTCAATTCCAGCAAAGCTTGAGAAGATGAACCCAAATAAGCCCAGAGTTGATAGCATGGCGATGTTTTCGACGAGGGTCATAGCTTGCAGTGCGTCCGCCCGTTCTGACGGTGCACACATCTCCGTGATGACGCCTTTACTGGCTGGCGCGAATCCAGACGCTAGAGGGAATAATACACCGGCTGACATTCTGGTTAGTGACCTTGAAAACAACTTTAAAGTGTATCTCTTACAAAAGTAGATGTGCCATCCTTTGGTTGCGAATGCGGTTGAGGCTGTGAGCAGCCCATCCGCTACTAAGCTCCATCGCAAGAAAGAAATGTCAAACTCATGACCAGGAACGCTTTGGAAGACAGTTGCTTCACTCAAGTTATTTGGTTTGGGGTGCATGTCCGCCGTGACACTTGCTTCTGTTTCCGCTAGGACTTGAGCTCTGAAGACTTCACTCGGGAGTTCCTTTTCGAACCGCTCGGTGTACCACTTTCGCCTGGAATCGATGATTCTAGGAAATATGAGAATAAGAAAAACACCGCGTATGAGCGAGTTGGACGCCATCAGATAGCTGTTTTCCGTGGGCAAGAAGTTGAAAGCCGCGGTGGAGTAGAGCTGGATGAGAATCGGCGCATAGCCAGTTGCCAAGACACCCAGGAAGACGCCCAAAGCCAGAAATGCGATACCATGGTGTTTGATAGATCTTCCATCCTTCAGTCGAAATCTTTTTGGGGCAAGAACTCTCAAAACTCCAAGCCATCTGCTCCACCCTTGTCGCTTGGTAGATGCGCCACCAGCAATACCAGGTGTTCTGCGGTCGATGTATGGGATAAACATGGCCGAGTACAAGCTTGACGATGCGAATAAGATGGTTGCAATTTCAAAGGGTCGTATAATACCCCAGCTGTCGCCAACAACATCTCCAAGGAGATATCCGATCGATGTTCCCAACATGACGCTGCCCTGGAGCATGCCGAACATAGCGGTCCGTCTAGTGGGAGGAGCAATCTCGCCTGTGATTGTGTCGAGTACGAGCAGATATCCGGACATTCCCCCAATAAGGCTAATCAGTTGACTACACTGAACGATGATAATTCCATTCCTGGTGCCGACTGAGACTCCGACGACCTGAATTCCAACCCGCAAAGCAGGAAACGCAGTCTGCAGGACGAGTGCAACTTTTGGCTCCCAGTTCATCATCTGCCAACCAGCGTAGAAAAGGTTGAACACACTGCAGAACATCGTCGAAAGGCCAAGAATAGAGACTTGCGTCGCGGTACCTGCGTCGATCTCGCTGCGACTGCAACGGTCGCCTAGCAAATCGCCAGTGTCGTGGTGTCCGTAGAATTCTTCACATTCCATCAGACGGAAAACATACAGAATACTGGAATTGTTAGTAATCACAGCCGCTGGACTTGCTGTTTTGCTTACTTACGGTACTTGAGTAAAGCTCAGCGCGACAGATATGAGAAACCAGCCAATAGTACTATGTTGGCTGAGGAGAACACGGCTCTCGTCCTGGATGGTTTTGAATCATTCTGCAGTAAAGGCGTGCTCTCTGTATCCGACATCGTGTGCTTTTCGACTGACAGTCTAGCGAGATTTGGGGTGATTGGGTTGCCAACAGCAGGTACCAGATGCGCTCTTCACATGTCCTTTGATGTTGCATGTCTAGTGAACGTTATATATCAACTGCATCGTTTGATCGTGCAGCGTCTCCCCTCGGTCAGTTCCGTTCGGTTATCATGATGGGACACGGCCCGAAGGGCATTGTCAACGACAACATCATTCTTGGCCAAGAAGGGCCACTTTCCTATCGTGCGGAAGCAGTAGGACTTACCTTATCGCGCGCTATGAGATTGCCTTATCTACCATGCAGATAGAGGACCTGAAATACCCGTCTTGAGTTCCACAGCCAATCGGGAAATGGTTTGTCGTTCGGCAACAGGGATACAACCCCAATGTCGGATTGCGGGCAGGAGGCGTCAATGAATGAAAGCAGTAAAAAACAACGAGACAGCTTCCCATGCGTGACAAAATGCGCAGGTTTCGCAATTCTGCATCATTTTTGCCTCCAAATTAGTCTCAAGCCCCCATCGCACTTGGAAAAATGGATGAGCCTAAACAACGAACGTCGGTCGTGCACCGTATCAAGGGTGCTTGTTTTGAATTCCTCCCATTAGATGAAGGTTCAATAGCTCACCATCATAGTCCTGGTTCTTGGTGAGGAATCATTTAGAAAGAAAGAGCGATGGCTGGTTCAGAAGCTGGGTAAGTTACTCAATTTGGCGTAACGAGTGACCACATAGCTGACAACCTTGGTACCAGACTTTTTTATCCTCACATACTACTGTGTGAGCTTCTTCTTCAACTACCTAGATCGTGCTGCCTTTGCCAACGCATACGTGAGTACCTGTCTCTTAACTATCCTTGTGTCATTTGTTGACAGCCGCAGGTTTCTGGTCTGAAGGAGCCCTGGACCTCAGTGGTAGCCAGTACAATGTTTTATTGTCCATGACCACCGCTGGCTATGTCATCGGACAGGTGCCTCATGGCATCGCCATCCAGAAGATTCCACCACGCATCTGGTTCCTCTCAATGGTCATCTTTTGGGCAGGCCTCATCATGGCCAATGCAGGATGCAAGACCTATGCCCAGCTCTGCGTTGTGAGGTTTCTAATAGGGCTGATTGAAGCATCTACGTATTGCGGCACTATCTACTGCATCGGATCCTGGTATAAACCCCGCGAAAAAGGAAAGAGAACAGCAATCTTCACAGCATCTGGCCAGGCAGGGTCCATGTTTGCAGGCGTAATGATGACGGCGATCAATCAGGGCATGGACGGCTACTCAGGGCTGGATGGCTGGCAGTGGGTGTTTCTCATCGACGGCATTATCACCTTGCCCATTTCCATAGTCGGATTTTGTTTACTTCCCGGATACGCTCGGACGGCATTATCACCTTGCCCATTTCCATAGTCGGATTTTATTTACTTCCCGGATACGCCCGAGCAGACAAAAGCACCGTGGATTGGCGAGTCCGAGAAGCGCCTCGCCCTAGATCGTCTGCCACCCAAGCGCAAGGACGGCCACAACATCAACCCCTGGTCACTGGCAAAGCATGTCTTTGGTTCTCCTGCTTTCTACATCCTATGCATCTTCTCCATGGTCTGTTCCGCTTTGGAAGCATTCTGCGTTCAGAACCTTTATCTGCTGTGGCTTAAACACTACTCGGCACAGGGATTCTTCACACAGTCGCAGGTCACCACGTATCCATTGGGTATACAAGCTATGGGAATCGTCTCCAACATGCTCGCCGCTGTGTATATCGACGCAACTGGGCGCTGTGTCCCCATGGGCATTCTAGCATGCGGACTACAGCTTGTCTCGGCCGTCATTCTGCTGGTGCCGACTTCAGGAAAGGTTGTCATCATGTTGGCTTTCTATCTCGCTGGGTCATCTTACATCGTCAACCCATTGCTGTTTGGCTGGGCTAACATCATTTCCCAACGAGGCGGTGACGATGCCCGTCGCAGTGTCATTCTCACAAGCATGAATGCCTTCGCCCAAATCCTGTATACCTGTTGGGGCATTGTCTTCTATCCCGCTGATAAAGTGCCATACTGGCGTGATGGCTATATCAGCATGATCGTCATAATTGCGTTGTTGTTCAGCATGCTGTGGGCGGTATCTTGGCTTGACCGACGGACTGCCAAACAACACCCTGACGCGGCCTTCTACGACTCCACACATCCTGTCCTAGTGTCAGATGATAAAGACAACATATCGATGAGGGCTGTTCCTGAGGGGAAAATGAATTCATCGGAGAACTCTCCATCGTAGTAAGTCCATGTTACTGAAACGCTGAGGCAATCATTTGACTGCTCCTGTGCAGACCTGAGCTTCATATTGTCATTGTCGAGAACCCAGTCAACCTTGTGTTCAGTTTTGATATCTACCTATGGTGCGGACATGTTTCAGTTCCACTCGCAGTTCCGCTCCGGACGCAAATGGCTAGTCTGAGTCTTGACGATGCGACCATCCTTCATCACCAGCATCAAGTTCTTGTTGATCCTGTCCAAACTAGAGACATCCTCCAAAGGGTTCTCATTCAGGAACAGAAGATCGGCGAAGGAACCCTCAACAAGCTCGCCTAGCTTGCCCTCCATACCCAGTTGCTTGGCACCGTTGATAGTCGCCTGCCGCAGGACTACAGGGCTTGGTAATATCTGAGACCGCACGACGAATTCGTACGTCTGCATCACCAAGGTAGGACCCGTCGTGTCGGTTCCGAAACACACAGTCACACCTGCATCCTCGGCGTAGCGGATGCCCCGTATCCCCGCGTCTCCCACGATCGCATTCTTGCGCAACCCTTCCGGCGTCTCAAACTTGTCATACGGCGGCATGGTGACAAATGTGTGAAGAGCTAGCGTTGGCGTCAAGAAGACCCCCTTCTCAACCATGAGTTGTGCAGTCTCAGGATCGATCATGTTGCCATGCTCAATGCCGCGGAAACCACCCGCTATGGCACGGCGGACACCCTCGGCAGTGTAACAATGAGCCGTCACTAGTGTACCGCCCATGTTCTTGTTGACAGTCGTGATAGCCTGAGGTTCCTCTACCGTGAACTGCAAGGACTCAAGCTTGTCCGTGGCGGAGGCAATGCCGCCTGATGTACACACTCTGAGTTGTTGGGCGCCTTTACGCATGTTGTCGCGCGCAGCCTGTAGACACTCGGGCACGCCATCACAGAGTCTTCCAAGAGCAGATTTGGCGATACCATTGCTCCGGCAGCAGTGCGAGTCGTTACATACTTCTGTGTCGTCTCCATGTCCTCCTGTCTGTGAGAGCATCCGTCCACCTTGAAAGACGCGGGGCTCGGGTATAAGGAACTCTTCAGTGGCCTGCGCGTGAGCAATGGTTGCGCCACCAGTGTCACGGACCGATGTGAAGCCGTTGGATAAGATGCCCCGAAGGGTGCCTGCGAATCTGAAAATGGCTGTTTCGTGTGGAAAGGTGAAAGCTCCATGCAATGTCGAGCTGCCATGCACGGCCATGAGATGCAGATGACAGTCGATGAGTCCCGGACAGACAAAATATTTGCTGGCATCGATCTTCTGCGCTTTCTGTCCGGCACAAAGAAACTCGGCGGTCAAGTCGTGGGCAGTGGTGGGAGCCACTCTGATAATCTTGCCACCGGCCAAGTATAGGCTGATGCCCTTATGCACAACCCCAGCTCTTGGATCAACAAGATTGGCGTTGGTGAGAAGGTAGGGAGTTTGAGGGTCGGGCAGCCATGGCTTCTCGGAGATATCGTACGAAGGGTTGGGGGGATAGATGGTTGACTTCAATTCCTAAAACGTCTGCACCAAGTTGTATTTTCTTTCGTCGCCGAGTGATACAGACTGATTGCTAGTATGTTGAAACTCCTCCAGAGTTATGAACTCCAAGCGCGAGATGTTACTCTCTTGTGAATAATCGCACTGCGAATGAGTAGGAACAGTCCTCATTTTTCTTGTCTTGCGATGTATCGAAACAACCCCTACACAAAATGATACTCTGGGATATTGACAATTTTCGCATTCATATTATCGTCTCAATGCCGGCAAACATTTTGAGCAATTCAATCCCGGGGTTGCTTCGATACGGCCGGGAGGCGTGCGGCCCTGTGATCCCGTCGCTTTACCCATCGGGTACAAGTACCCGGAGCACAATTCCGTTGCGACTTCCCTGATACCCGCAATAGACGATAGACGATAAGCTTGGAAACCGACAACATGGTCTCTCTGACCGATAGCAATGTCTCGGTCCTGTTGGATTTCTTCGTTTGGCTGCCCGTATGCTGACAGCCCGCTGTCCGGTGTGTCGTTGGTAGTCTTCGTCGTCCAGGTCGAAGGTGTCGGCAAGCTCTGCACAACGTGATTCTCCCCAGAGCCTTTGCACACCATTATTGATGTTGAAATCGAACTTTTCAAAATTTCTTTCTATACTATTTCGGCCGTCATGGAGAAATATGATGGCCTGTCTACACGTCAGGCGATGTACTTGAAGCCAGCTGTGTGGAGGCACAGACTTGGTGCAGCCATGCTCTACGGACTTGCTGCTATCGGCATTGCCCACTTGGTTTCTAATTTCCCAACGTGGTGCATGGAGCTCGCAGGTCAGAATTTCCAAGACGTCGCAAACTTTTTGGAAGAAGACATATTTCCAGATACCGACTATCCTCTCCGACCTGCAGAGGAACCATGGGATATTGCAACGTCATACCCATACTCAAGAAGACTTTCCAAGAACGTTACTGAAGGGACCTGGCTCCGAGTAGCTACTCATCCATCAGCGGAGGAGATTGTGTTCGATATGCTAGGAGACCTATATTGCATGTCTACGCGCAGCCAAAAAGATGATTCAGCCGTGATTGCTCACCCCATACTGACGGGAATTCCGTATGAGAAGGAAGCGGAGTTTTCTCCCGACGGATCCAACCTCGTCTACATATCGGACGCAGGCTTCAGTGTCGACAACATCTGGACCATGCCATACACCACTTGCAAGAATATGGCACGCATGCCGCAGCAACAGGTCCGACAAAGCGCAGTCCAACAAACGAACTCAACCTTCCGTTTCTTCTCCAGTCCGGCATTTCACCCGACGAAGCCGAAAGTCATTGCCACGAAATGGTTCCTTACGGGTCGCCCAAATGGAGCTGTTGAGATACGGGAGGTGCCCTTGAGGGTTTCTAATGATGGACGTTTGCATGAAAGAGGAGGGAGAAGAATCATTAGGCGAAAGCTTCCTACGTCCTGGCCCAAAGAAAGATATTTCGAGAGTCAGTTGGGGTCAGAGCAAGCTCGTTATACACCCTCTGGCGATGGCATCGTGTTTTCTCGCAACGTTCGGGATGATGCGGAGGGCAGGTTTTCGTCCAATAAAGACGTTCGTTCTGGGATCAACGCCGTCTTTCTCTTGAATACCACCACCAACGAGACGACGACCCTAGTATCGGCTACTCCCAGCAAGCCCAACAAACCCGCAAGCCCAGGCGGCGCGAATCTGCCACGACTTTCTAGCGACGGATGGACTCTGGCAATTATCAGACAACGGAACGACAAGGAAGTTCTTGTTCTCAAGGACATGCGTTCCGGCACTTTACACTACGTCTGGGATGGCCTCTCCTACGATCTGAGTACTATTCCCGCGTTCATGGGGGCTTATCCGAACTATGTTGGTCAGAGAATGACAGCAGAATTGTCATCTGGTCTCAAGTTCAGATCTGGAGTATACCATTGCGCGTAAACCACTTTGGTGAGCGGGTTGCCAGCGGTGATCCGAAGCAGCTTGGTTTCAGGGCCGCGATAGACATTGCCCTCGGAACAACGAGATACTCAACAACCAATATCACAGCTCATCAACTTGCGACTTATGCCCAAGAAACGGCTTTCCGTCGCCTTCGCAGTGACGCCAAAGGAAAAACAGTGGTGTTTGAAGGGGCTGGGGACAACTCTATCATGGATGTCTCATCTGGTGACATTCAGAAAATCAGGGCACCGAATGCCGTTACTTCATATTACACCCCATCTTTTGTGGATGAGACCCAATATTTGCTCGAATCGTGTTGGAACGACGTCAATTACACCAGCTTTCACCTAGTCAATCGACAGGACAATACTACCACAGAAGTTCAAGAATTACCTCGAGGAAGATGTGTCTCTCCGGTCACGGATGGGAGAATTATTACATACATCCGCACTGGCAAGGACTACATGCTTGGAGACATTGACGAGACATTTGGGGAGGGTGTTTGGGTTGCAAACGTTAACTTACCCGCGACAGCTTCGGGGACATCGTGGTTGAATGGGCTCCGGAGACTTCCTGTCGGAGACTACAGCGCTGAGTCCAAGCTTGACATAGGGTCCCGCGATGGGTCTACCATTATTCTGATCCAAAATTCTGATTCGATCGTCGAGTATGATTTGGACAGAAGTGCGTCGCGCAAGATATCGGCCAGCCGAACATCGGTCGAGATGCGATCTACGGTGAAGAACCCGCATATCATCGGGCTTCGGGACTTTCATCACATCTGGCTTTCGGTGAATCATCAGGCCGAATAAGGATGTATATGGAGTAAGCCAGGACATCCTCAGAGGCCGAAGGATCTCACCCGCCTCTCCGATGTTGTTGGTCAGTCATGATTTCACTCTCAGCTGGGAGGGAGAAAGGGCTTTCTGGCTTTTGGGACCCAGCCTGAAACTGGTTGATCTCAAGACTAACTCCGAGGGATGCAGACGAGCATCACTCAAATCGAGAGACTTTGGCGACTGCGCTCGTATGTTTGTCTCCTCTAGGAAAATCGACACAACCTACGAGACGGCAAACCTTCGCCACGCACAAGTTTCCGAGGGCAGGCTATTCGCTATCACCAATGCATCTCTGATTAGCATGGATCTCACGACTCCGGAACTCATGCGTCAAGCTACTGTCCTGGTCGAAAAGGGCCAGATCGCTGCCATCGGCCCAGGATCCGACGTCAAGATACCTGCACACTGTGAAGTCCTTGACGCTGAAGGAGGCGCGGTTCTCCCTGGCTTCATCGACATTCACGGTCACTGGGGAGGGTTCTTCTCGCCCTTCCCAACCCAGTCGTGGGAAATGGAAACGTTTCTAGGATACGGCGTCACGACAATCCACAATCCAGCGTCCAATAATGTGGCTGGCCACATTGAACGTGTGCTTATTGACAAAGGAAGAATGTACGCGTCCAGGGTGTATCATACAGGCGATGTACTGTATGGCTCAACCCAACCGTCGGTTTACACTGAGATCAACTCTCTTGCTGATGCTAGAGACGCACTTCAGCGGATCAAAGAGGAAGGCGGCAATGCGTCTTTTACTGTCAAGAACTACCAGCTCGTTTCTAGATCGGCCAGGCAGAGGCTTCTGCTTGAAGCTGCTAAGCTTGAGATGCTCGTGGTACCGGAATGAGGGTGGTCATTCGACTGGGGTCTGACATACTTCATCGATGGCTACCTACACATCTCAGGAGCACCCTCTTCCTGTACCCGAGCTGTACGACGACGTCCTATCACTTGTTGAGACCAGTAGCAGCTCCTATACCCCGGTGACAGTCATGAATTACGGCGGTATCTTCGGTCAACATTGGATACACCAGAATGAGGACATACCTAACGACACCAAGCTGAGGAAGTGCGTAAGACATGACATACTGGAAAGCCTGACCGAAGTAAAGCAAGCGCCGAACAGTTCCTACCTGTTCTTCAACGCCACTCGGTCAACCGCGAAACTTGCGAAGCGAGGCGTGCGGACGAATGTTGGTGCTCATGGAGAGCAGCCAATCGACCACTTGTTTCATTCAGAGATGAAAATGATGGCCATGGGAGGTCAGACACCTTACAGTGTCTTACGCTCTGCAACTATCGGCAACGCTATGTCACTTGGTCTTCAGTTGGCAGACATTGTCATATACCCGTCAGGAGTTGACAACGTAGAGAAGGCATGGGAGCAAAGCGCCATATGAAGTTTGTGATGAGAGGAGGTATCGTGTTCAGTGTCGAGAAGGGACTTCTTGAATTATGGCCGCGCAAGGATCGGAAACAGACTCGGTTTCCACTGAACCCCGAGGATGTGGCGGGGGAGAGATATAAATGTATGTAGCAGAACATGTTGACGTTTGGTCAGAGTTGAATCTCTCAAGCTACCATCAAACCATTGTCACATTTTCGCCAAAATCCATAAAAAACGTATAAATCGGCCATGCAATAGGAAATGCTGTCACCCGCCTTGAAAATGGCACAATAGCTCGTTCGAGATTTGCAAGGCCACCAGCACCGAAGACTTCGGAGCCGGCGATACACTGACCGGCCGCCCCGATTGACCAGCTTCTTGGTACGGCCAATCATGACCTCTCTATAGCAGAGAAGCCGACAAAGCCGAAGGTCGGTACAGTATACCACGCCCTATATGAGTACGGCCTCTTGCAGAGCATGGGTACCTTCCCTCCCTCCGGGCCGCCCACCCTCAGCTCAAACTTCAGTAAGCTTGGAGTTATCCGCGCAAGCTTCCGGCGGCTGCGTGACTGTTGATCGGCTACTTTAGAGTTGCGGAAGCGCCCCCGACGTCTAATATGTGGGCCTTTTGCAGTAAGTTAACTAACCCGAGTCAAGATTACTAGGGAGAAGGGCTTGTGGATTCAGCGCAAACCTTGAAATTCTTTTGTGGTTTCCGATTCCTTCCTAACTACTCTATATCAATACTCAATTCGTATGCAGTGTACGCATGAGATTCGACTTGTCGATGTCCAGTGTGTGACGAACTTGGTGTGTACCCTTTGCCTCTTGTTTAATAATGGGACCAGTCAAGAATTTCACATTCACGATGATTCCAAAGGTTATAACAAGACTCCTTCACACTTCAGTCCACTCACACCGAACCATATTCACTTTCGAAGACAACTGCGAGGAAGGTCTCGCCACATCATTGATCAGTACTTGGAGTT